CCACCCCAGGCCTAGACTTGCTAATTTGATAGGTGGGTGGGGCCCAGGAAGCAGAAGGCACCCCTAGGGACACTGAGGCACAGTCCACTGGCCACGCCTGGAGAGGCTGTTTCCAGTGCTCTGGGGGGGAGGGTTCCGGTACCCAGTGTGGGATGGTCTGACTACAGGTACCACATCTGAGTACTTACTACCAGCCAGATGCTTTTCTGATGCTGCTGTCATCTGTCTTTGGAACAACTTTCCCCATGTTGCAGATGAGGCCACTAAAGCAGAGAGCAAAGTCAGGGCAGCTGGGAAACGGAGCCGAGAGTGAGTTCCACACCTGCACCGAGGCACAGGGTAAGTGTTGGCAAGCAGTGCTTATCCTTTGGTCTCAGTCTTCCCCTCTAGAAAATGGAGGTAACTGGGCAACACCCTCGGGTCCCCTCCCACTGTGGGAGTTTTTCTGTCCTCTCAATAAATCCTGCTTTCTCACCAAAAAGAAAAGAAAAGAAAATGGAGGTAACTGCTCCCACCTGCTTCCTGGAGACTCTGGGGCCCTAACAACTCTGGTGCCCATAAGGCCGCTGGGAAGTCCGCCATGTTTTCCCCAAGCAGTGACCCTCGGCCCTGCTGGACACCTCCCGCAGAGTCCATCTAGAGTCTCTGCCCACCCGCCACTGGATGAAAAGGTCAAAGGGCGTTCCCCCTGCCCCACGCTGAGGCCCCCCACAAAGGTAGCATTGTGCGACTCTCAACGGCAGGCTTTCTTGGATGGCAATAATATTATTTTCTGCTGCTGACGTGTCATCTCCTTGTTCCAAGTGGGACTATTCAGCTGTATTTTCCTCTGCGGGCAGTGCCATTTCAGACAGAAAGGGAGCCCTCGGGGCTTAGGACTTGGGAAACACACAGCCAGCAGGAAGGCGAGTGGAGATGTAACTGCAAGCCCAGGTGACGTGGCCTGAGGGAGCCAGAAACCCGGGAGGCAGCAGAGCACAGGGGTCTTTGTACCCACTGACTTCAAGCGCTGGTGCGGCGGGCAGCAGTGGCCCATGAAGTGGTCCCTTCCACCCGTCCCAAGCGCCCCACGCGTTTCAACAGGCATCAGAGAAGCCACCATCTCAAGGAAGGATCAAGGTACAGAAGTGGTGTTAAGCTATTTCTCCCTGTGAGGCCACCTTCTCCGGGAAGCCAGCCCTTGCCACCTGCCCGCTTGAAGCAAAGCAGCATGTACGACCAGCAAGCAGAAAACAGGAAAACCTTCCCGATTTCCTTGTCTGTATCATGACGACCCATCTCCCAGGGAAAGGTGGCTAGCAGAAATTCGAGAGTGGCCAGTCACGGGGGAGAGGGGAGGATGTGTGTGGGGAATCATGCCTATAATCCCAGCACTTCGGGAGGCTGCGGTGGGAGGATTGCTTGAGCTCGGAAGTTTAGACCAGTCTGGGCAATATAGCAAGACCCCATTGATTTGCAAGAGCAGTCAATATTTTTCTCAGGCCACAAAAGCAATGGAGCTTGGGTGACAACTCTGTCCACACACAGCCACCTCTGACTATTTTATTCCTGAGGCCTGCTCATCCGACCCTCCCCTCCACACACACACACACACACACACACACACACACCCCACTCTTTGCACGGCAGAGCCCGCGTGAAAAGGCCATCGCATTCCAGCCAAGGCAGCAGAACAGGCGACTGCCTCTGCCTCCCCTTTCCCGAGCATCTACCCAAAAGGCCATCTGCAGACAAGTCCGGGCTCCCTGGGCCAGGTGAAGGACCCAGGGGGATGTCCTTCATGCCTGAACAGAAGGAAGCCACCTGGGTGAACGGAAGGAAGGACACAGCGCTGAGGGAGGTGGTGAAAGTCGGGGCTGGGGCAGGAAGTCTGCCACCCCGGGGGTGGGGGGAGGGAAGACGAAAAAGGGTTAAAAAGCAGGGAGGGGGCCAAAGCCCAAGCACTCAGGGATGCAGGAGAAGAGACAAAGCGCTGATGGGGTCTTCCAAGTAAGTCTGAGAGAACAGGGCCCTTTGGTACCTAGTAGAAGGAAGCATCTGTCTCCGAACCCCATGAATGACTGAATGTGGGAGCTGGAAAGGACTTCCAGGGTCATCTCGCGCAAATCCTGCCCTGTGAAGAGGCACAGCGAGAGCACAGAGACGTGCAGGGACCTGCCCAAGGTCACACAGCAAGTTAGTGTCGGAAGGAGACCAGAATGCTAAACTCCTGACTCCTAGTTGGGGGTATCTCCCCCTCCAATGATAAATATCACTGACTACCTACTGGAGAGATAAATACTATTAATGGCTTACTGAGCCTCTGTGACCAGCCCAGGGGGCTGCAGGACCTCCATATGAACTCCAGACCGGGGCAAATCATCTCCTTGACTCCTCCAAGTTCAAGTGTTATTCTACAGCCCTGGAGGAGAGGCAGAAACGTCCTCAGGCACCAGCAAGTCTTGAACAACTGACAGAAAGGCAGGGAACCCCGAGGTGCGCAGGAGGGGCCCTCCTGTAGAACGGATCCCCCTAAGTTATAAGGCAACATGTGCAGCAAGACAGAAGACCTATGGCCGACACTTGGCAGCTTTTGTAGGCAGTGATAAAAAAAAAAAACCTGGAACAAGAGAGAGCTGGCCCTGATCCTTCAGACCCTGAAGACCAGGACAGAGAGCACCAGGGGGTGAGCTGCAATTTTAAATGCAAGGGAAGGCTGGGCGAGGTAGCTCCCAGCTATCATCCCAGCACTCTGGGAGGCTGAGGCAGGAGGATCGCTTGAGGCCAGGAGTTGGAGACCAGCCTGGGCAACATAGTGAGATCCCTGTCTACAAAAAATAAATATCTCTTTAAAAACTCAGACTAGGAGCACCTGGCAGAACCATGTTCCTCTAGCTCAGGTAAGATAGGAAAGAAGTCTTCAGACACACCTCTAAGTCACAGATAAGAAGCCCATCACTCTGAAAAATAAGCAGGAAAATAGGTTTTTCTAAAGCAGAAATAGCTAAGTTCTTTCTACTTAGATCCTCTTCTGAACCAAAGTTAGCTTCTCATGTACAACAGACTGTATGTTGACTTTCACTCTTAAATAAAAAGTTTTTTTAAAATACGCACTTGTGTAGCTTGCCCAGTTATTCAAGAACAAAATGCCATTTGTCGAAAGGTCAGTAGGCAATGCTAGAATCCACCAGTTCACCAGCAAACGCTTAACATGTACGCTACATCCAGGGAATGCAGTTTATGATTTGTCTGAACAAAAAGCACGAAGCCCTCAGAGCAAAACATAAGGGGGCTGGCAATTTTCATATTTTCATATCTAAAGGACAGTTATTATCTGTGAGGGCCCCGTCCGGGCAGGGCCACCCAATTCCCTTTATGTCAAACCCAGGCTAGAAAGTATCCTCACCCCTATTCGATTTTCATATTCATCAAATAAAAACTCCTAATTCAACATTTTATTTACTATACCCATTCTAAAAAAGCACTCTCAAGGATTTTCTTTTCATCAAAATCAAATATTTGAGCTAAGGCTCAAAATTGATAGCTTTGAAGATAACTCCAAAAGCTGTGTTTTCACAACCAAACCACATATTTTGAGTCAAGGAAGACAGAAGTCCCCAAGCAGAGAAAGCAAAAAGCCATTCCTCTCAACCTACCAAAATTCCCTAGAACCATATTCTCCAGTTCAACCGGAGAACTGAAAATCTGACAGAAAATGAGTGACACAGGTTAGGCTCGGTGGCTCAGCCTGTCATCCCAGCACTTTGGGAGGCTAAGACGAGTGGATTGCCTGAGCCTGCAGGTTCGAGACCCGCCCGGGCAACTTGGCAAGACCGCATCTCTATAATAAGTAAATTTTTAAAAATTAGCAGGGCGTGGTAGCGCGCCTGTAGTTCCAGCTCCTTGGAAGGCTGAGGCGGAAGGATCGCCACAGCCCAGCAGGTCGACGCTGGGGTGGCCATGAGCGTGCCACTGCACTCCAGCCTGGGCGACAGAGTAAGGCTCCAACTCAAAAAAAAAAAAAAAAGAAAGAAAAGCCGGGCTCGGTGGCTCAGCCTGTAATCCCGCGCCTTGAAAGAAAATGAGTGACACAGTTTGGAAGTTATCCCCTCCAGACCTCATGTTGAAACGTGATCCCGTGTTGGAGGTGGGGTCTGGTAGGAGGGGTTTGGGTCGTGGGGGCGGATCCCTCACGAATGGCTGGGTGCCCTCCCCATGTAATGAGTGAATTCCCACTTGACTGGTTGAAGAGTTTAAGAGAGCCTGGCACCTCCTGCTTCCCTTCACCACACAGCAGGCCTGTGTCCCTTCCCCTCCTGCAACAAGTGGAAGCTTCCTGCAGCCTCCCCAAAAGCGGTTGCTAGCACTCTGCTTCTTATACAGCTGGCAGAGCCATGAACCAAATAAGCCTCTTTTCTTTTTTTTTTGAGTTGGAGTCTCACTCTGTCGCCCAGACTGGAGTGCAGTGGCCGCTCCCGGCCACCGCAGCCTCGACCTGCTGGGCTCCAGGGATCCTTCTGCCTCAGCCTTCCGAGTAGCTGGAACTACAGGCGTGTGCCACCACGCCTGGCTAATTTTTAATTTATTATGGAGAGGAAGTCTCTCCAAGTTGCCCAGGCGGGTCTTAAACCCGTGGGCTCAGGCAATCCACTCACCTCAGCCTCCCCAAGCGCGGGATTACAGGCTGAGCCACCGAGCCTGGCAGCCTCTTTTCTTTATAAATTACCCAGCCCCAGGTATTCCTTTATAACAACTTAAAACAGACTGGGGCAACCCCTTCAGGCCCCCTCCCGCTGTGGGAGATCTTCTGTCCTCTCAATAAATCCTGCTTTCTCACTTAAAAAAAAAAAAGATTGATACAACAAGCATAAAGAAAGAAGTCCGTTAACACATCCTCACCCCCTGATTTGGTAGATCAAACCACAGCTCAGCTCAAAAATGAGCAGACTCAAACAACACAGACTTATTTGCAAGCTCTCATGCTGCCTAAGTGCTATGATAAGGATGCCTGAGCTCCTTACTGATCATGGTGGTTCCTCCAGCCAGGGCTGCCTTGGTTCCTTGGAAGAAGTCATCAGCAGACGTCATTCCCTGGTCGGGCATCTGGAAACGAGTGTGGACGTCAATTCCTCCAGGGATCACCATCCGGGAATGGGCTTCGATGGTCTTCACCCCTCCTGGAACAATCAGGTTTTCTCCTATTTGCCTAAATAAACAGAGTTGGTAATAAAAGTAGTAAATGAAACGTGTAATCAAATGGGATCTGACAGCTACTTCCACTAACCTATAAAAACTATCTACCCCTCTGTGCCATGGGCTTTTCCGATTGTTGGTAAGATTCACCACAGAGGCACTACACGCTGCTACCCACACTAAGAGACAATGCAAAATATAGTAGAAAGCAAAGGGCACCCATCCAAGGTATTGCAGGCCCCATTCAAAGAGGTTTGGTTACCAAGAAACCCCCTAAGATCAAGTGATAACAAGGCCCCAAGATATTTATATAAGTCACTAAATTTTCTGTACAACACATACAACCACGCTAATTATCCCACAGCAATTATCTCTAGACCTGGCTGTACTTTCTAGACATTCATTTTCACCACATCCTTCACTAAAAAGAAAACGGGTGTGAAAGGGTGGAAGCGCGCACACACACACACACACAAAAAGTGAACACTATAATTGCAATGACTTAAAAATCTGGAAGCCTGTGCTTAGCAATTTAGATAACAAAGGCAGGAAAATGAATATCCATTTTGTTGGGAGACATAATTCATATCTAATTTTTAAAAATATTTTTACTACATCTTTCTACCAGTATTTTTCTTTAAAAAAAGAATATTAATCAAGGAGGAGCTGGTAACATTCTAGAACAAATTAGTGAGGACCAAAAATAGCACACAGGCCTGCTCACTTCTAGGCCAGAGTCTTCCTGCTGGACCAGCTCACACCACCTTGTAACTATGGAAAACGGATCTTGAAAGTCATGGCATTTGAGAGGCTGGAGCTAAGACTGTCACAGCAAACACACATGGAGAAAACATTAAATGTGGAAATGTGAAGACCTATTCTAGGTTCATAAATCAGGGTGTGAGCTTCCAGGCAACAGTCATCTCCACTCCCAGTTTTCCACTCCTCCGGACAGCTTCGCTGCAAGCACTTGATGAATGCTGCTTATTTAAAAGCTGTCATTTGCTGCAGTGTTTATCTTTAAACAGATGTGCTATTTCTCCAGAGCCCTGTGAGCTGTCCCAGTAGGAAGGGCACGAGGATACTGGTATGTACTCAGTTCATTTAACCTTCTGGAGCCCCAAAATACCCAGACTCAGTAACGGCTCTGTTGTTTCTCCTTTGTGACATAATACACAATAAACACAAGAGCAGTCTAATGTGTGCTAGCTGCCACTTCAAGAACGAAGCCTAATATTCCCCCAGGATTCGGCAGTGATTTGTCTGTGTTACTTGGCAATTAACTTGGTATCTTTCTACTCCCCCCAACTTGGACTCTTGATGAAGAAAGCAGATGTGCTGTCTTGATAGGACGCAGCTGTATTCTGCGTCTGTCCTGTGATTGGTCAATCCAGCCCAAACAAGTACACGCTAGGAAAACCTTTCTCATAGTCAACATATCACAAACCAAGTAAACGAGCTGGCAACAAGAAGCTATTGTGTCAACCAGTTAAAAATAGCAAATTACATAATACACGATGCACTGAAGTGTGGTTCCCTAAATCTTGAGTTTTCGAATTCACTGATTACCATCAGCCAAAACGGGTTTAAAACAGACATTAAGGTGGTCACTCTGATGCTAGTAAGGCTTGATACTATGCGTGTGAATGCTGGCTAATTCATAGGAGTACTGAAAATACACGTGGCAAATACACACATACTTCTCTGTATCTTGAGTCACACTTACTTGATCAACCCATCTTCCATGTATATGTCTGCATAGAATGACTGGTCATCATTAACAATTTTACCTCCTTTGATCAGAAGACGATCACTCTGAAACAAAGAGGCAGTAAGGTCACAATGCAAAACTGACCTATGAGAAACACAGAAGGACTAAAAGTAAATGAGATAGGGATGCGTCTGCACTATTCAAAAGGGATGTTCAAAATTAGCCGATTTTGGAAAGGCTCGATGACAAAGGTAATCCTCCATGCGGCCACCAATTTGACACCTGACGTGCAGAACACATCAGGGCAAAGCTTATCCCAGATCAGTTAACCATCGCTTTCAATTAGACCTTAGGCCTTGAAGCAAAAAACAAAAATAAAAACAACTCATGTAAAGAAAATAATACCTTTTCAATGCCTTTTGGCTAAAACTCATTATTTAAAAAAAAAAAAAATAATACACCCACATATAGGAAAGCTCCGTCCTGGCAGGGTCTGTCAGGAAAAATTGACCAGAAGTCAGTTGTCATGGGACACAGGAGACAAACACACTTGGTTCAACTGTGGCAGGGTTTCAATTCAGCATGTCCTTTAAAGTTGTTATTTATCTTCGAGGTAAATCACAGCAAGCGTGACGGGGGACGGGGGGGGGGAAGACTCGAAAAAATATATCATTTTAACCAAGCTGTTAGGAGAAAGGTAAAGTTTTAGATTAAGTGTATGAGATGGCAAATTCTAAAACCTAATGTCACTATAGATTGTTGATGCGCTTACTTTTGGTGATATTTGTACAAAAAATTAGGGACAGGCAGCACATAAGGGCCAAGAATGTAAGAGAAATGCTATATCATGACTCATCACTATCCCAAATGCCGTTGATGGAATGGAATGCTAACGTCGTGTGTTCAGTAAATATGCACCTGTATTATTCCAGCCTGGGGTTTCAACCTTACCCGCTGAACCATATACTGCCTTTAAAATATACAACGTACACATTTCAAAGAGTGGCATTCATCTTGACAGCATTAACTCAAAATCTGGTGACAAAACAATGTCCTCGGCCAGTGCTATTGACATTTAGCAGCTACCAAGAAGGGGGAATCACAGAAAATGTTTTTATAATACATCAGCTACTAGAGAACAAGGAAAAAGATACTTTCACACATAAATACACACACATCTGGGTTTACAAATATTTATTGTTTCTCTATCATATTGAAAAACAATTTTGTACACTGCAGAGTCCTCCATCCTGATGTAGGACTTTGGAAAACCAAAGAGAGGCTCAACAATGATTGCGACACCTGTATAAGGTAAACGTAAAGGCCTTCACAAAATCTTGTCATGTACGCTTTGCCATCAGTGACTCAAAACAAATCTGCGAGGCAGACGGAGGCAGATTCTGTTTCGGTAAGGAAACTCAGAGAGGTTAAGTCATTTGCCCAAGTCAGCTGGTCTAGTGCCCTTTTTCTGTCTCCGATGATCCTTCTCTCCCAGATCTCTGAGCTTCCACAGGATAAATAAACATCACCTAAGAAGCGGAGATGCCCTGCCCTTCACCACCTGCCCCCTTAAACACTACGATACCTGTCCCAGCCATCACCGAGAAGCCCCCAACCACCATCATGCCAAGAAAGAGTAAACACCACAGCCTGGTTCACTCTAGTGCCTTCCAGAAGGCTCTTACATAAGAGGCTGGCCCTCGTGAGGGAGGGAGGAACACCACACTATAGGTCCTAAGATAAGCAGCCAGATTTGTTTTTTAAGGGTGGAGGGGGCGCTCTGTTAAAAATGGCTCTTGTTGATTGTTTGCTTTTAACATTGTTTTTCTCCTCACATTGTCTAAACAGAACTGCCTTGTTCGTTCATGGAGGCAGCAAATTATTGGAGGCTTTTAGCACACTGGCTCTCCATCCTCGCTCACCCTCCTTCCTCCGGCGCAGAGAACATGGGGGGGGGTC